GGACTATTATAGGGTATTGGCGAGTAGAGTTAAAACCGAGATAAGGAAAGCAAAGAGGAATAATGAGGTAAGGATAGCAAGGGAGGCGAAGACAAACCCCAAAGGATTCTACCAAATGTATCAAACTAAAACACGAGAAAAGATTGGACCAATACGGTCAGACTCCGGCGAGCTCTAACGCAAATGAGCAATAATTTGAATAAATATTTTTCAACAGTTTTCACCACCGAAAATCTAAACATGATACCCGAGGCACCGACTCTATTCAGAGATAGTGAAGAAAACAAATTAAGTGAGATAGTAGTGACTAGTAACGATGTTAGTAAGCAAATAGACAAACTAAAGCCTAATAAGTCACCTGGTCCCGATGAGATATTTGCCAGAGTATTAAAGGAATGTAAGGAAGAGCTTAGTATGCCCTTAGCAAAGTTGTTTAACATGTCCTTAAAAACAGGTGTAGTACCAGAATCCTGGAGGATAGCGAATGTAATACCGATTTTCAAGAAGGGGGATAGATCACTATCCTCTAACTACCGCCCAATCAGTCTAACATCAATAGTAGGCAAATTACTGGAAGCAATCATTTCAAACTCTATTCGAAATCACCTGGAGAAGCACCGATTGATCAATGATTCCCAGCATGGCTTCACAAGCGGACGTTCTTGCCTAACTAATCTATTAACATTCTTTTCATCAGTTTTCGAATCAGTGGACGAGGGGCACAATTATGATGTGGTATATCTCGACTTTAGTAAAGCCTTCGACAGAGTCCCCACGAAAGACTAATTAGAAAGGTAGAAGCTCATGGCATCAAAGGTGACATCCTTAAATGGATTAGGGCGTGGTTACAGGACAGGAAACAGCGAGTGAGCATTAACCGCACTAAGTCCCATTGGAGCAACGTCACAAGTGGAGTTCCCCAAGGCTCAGTACTTGGACCATTATTGTTTATTATATACATAAACGACATAGATATCGGCATAGACAGCAACATAAGTAAATTTGCTGATGACACTAAAATAGGACGTGTTATCAAATCTGACGAGGACTCGACAAAACTACAGGAAGATCTAAACAAATTTTTCGAATGGTCTGAAAATGGCAGATGAAATTCAACATGGACAAATGTAAAGTACTCAGTATAGGAGATGTAAACAGGGAAACCAGATACCAGATGAACAACGATGCCATAGAGAAATCCGACTGCGAGAGAGATTTAGGAGTAATGATAAGTAGGAACCTTAAGCCAAGTAAACAATGTGGTTTTGCTCGTAACAAGGCTAATAAAGTACTTGGGTTCATACAAAGGAGTGTTAGTTACAAGACTAGCGAGGTCATCCTAAAACTGTATCTTGCTCTTGTCAGACCACACCTGGATTATGCAGTTCAGTTCTGGTCACCGTATTACAGAATGGATATAGAATCCTTGGAAAGAATCCAGAGGAGAATGACAAGACTAATCCCGGGCATGAGGAACCTTGAGTATAGAGACAGGTTAAAGCATCTTAATTTGCACTCCCTTGAGAGACGTAGAGCGAGGGGTGACCTGATAGAGGTGTATAAGTGGAAGGCAGGGCTAAACAAAGGGGACATTACAAAGGTACTCAAACTATCCAACCAGGGGCGAACTCGTAACAATGGTTTTAAATTAGACAAATTTAGATTTAGGCGTGAAATAGGTAAACACTGGTTTGGAAACAGAGTAGTGGATGAATGGAACAAGTTACCAAATGAGTAGTGGATGAATGGGACAGTTACCAAATATCATCATTAACTCGAATCGCTTTGAATTGTAGCTAGCTTATAGGTTGGATGCTCATATGAGCAATATTAGGGGTTGGAATTATGGCGGGACTGTAGGTATGGGCCAATAGGCCGCTGCAGTTTTCCTCCATTCTTATGTTCTTATGTTCTTATGTTCTTATGTTCTGTCATTAACTCGAATACGCTGAATTGCTTCAAACATAGGTTGGATGCTCATATGAGCAATAGGGGTTGGGTGTAAACGGGACTGCCCAGTATGGGCCAATAGGCCCGCTGCAGTTTCCTCCATTCTTATGTTCTTATGTTCTTATGTTCTTATGTTCTGGGTTTGAAAACCGAGCGGACTCTGTTCTGGGGACGAACTCCAGCTGTCAGCCAATCAGCACAATTACGCCTATGACGTCACGCTCACAGGTCACTGTGATTGGCTCATGCCTCAGGTTTCTCAGGCAATCAAGGCGGGAAATATTTAGGCTTTTTGGCAGGGCTTTCTAATTTCTCTAAAGTATGCTATACTCGTATTTCACTCGAAAATCGTGACACTGACACATCACTGAAACATTTATAAAGTCCCGAAAGGGATGGAAAACGTGATCCCAAGACATTTCTTTGTGATGTCACTCACCACCAACACAGGTGGACATAACTACAAGCTCGCAAAGTATTTATGCAGAACTAACACAAGGAAACACTTCTTCACGCAGAGGGTGGTAGACCTTTGGAACCGTCTACCCGCCGAAGCTGTGGAATCAAGAACAGTGGCTTCAAAATAACCAAATAACCAAATTATCAAGAACAATGGCGGCCTCCTTCCATCGAAATGGCCACCTGTAGTGGATGACCATTAGGTAAAAAAGTAAATATTACAATAATGTATTCCTGTGCTTCAGCAACTAAGTACAGTATCTTTTAACCACCTCTCTCTCTCTCGGTAGCGTTCCCTAGTTCCCACCCAGTAGGTCGAGGGTTCGATTCCTGGCTGGTGAGGTCGTTGATTATATGTTCAAAGTCCGCGTGTTATATGGACTAAAAATGAAGTGTATATATATATATATATATATATATATATATATATATATATATATATATATATATATATATATATATATATATATATATATATAACAAAGAAGTCTGTCTGTGTGTGTGTCCGCACGGGAATCTCGGAAACTACTTTACAGATCTGTAGTGATGATGGATGGTGTTATATGTAGTGATGATGGATGGTGTTATATGTAGTGATGATGGATGTTGTTATATGTAGTGATGATGGATGGGATGGTGTTATATGTAGTGATGATGGATGGTGTTATATGTAGTGATGATGGATGGTGTTATATGTAGTGATGATGGATGATGTGTTATATGTAGTGATGATGGATGTTATATGTAGTGATGATGGATGTTGTTATATGTAGTGATGATGGAATGTTATATGTAGTGATGATGGATGGGATGGTGTTATATGCAGTGATGATGGATGGTGTTATATGTAGTGATGATGGATGGTGTATATGTAGTGATGATGGATGTATATGTAGTGATGATGGTGGTATATATGTAGTGATGATGGATGGTGTTATATGTAGTGATGATGGATGGTGTTATATGTAGTGATGATGGATGGTGTTATATGTAGTGATGATGGATGGTGTTATATGTAGTGATGATGGATGGTGTTATATGTAGTGATGATGGATGATGTTATATGTAGTGATGATGGATGTTGTTATATGTAGTGATGATGGATGGTATTATATGTGGTGATGATGGATGGTGTTATATGTAGTGATGATGGATGGTGTAGTGATGATGGATGATGTTATATGTAGTGATGATGGGTGGTGTTATATGTAGTGATGATTAGACAATAAAAAAATAACAGTTTAACGCTAAACAAATATACTTTGCTATACCCTTGTAGTGAAAAACATGGTGGAACTTACATACACCGTTAATGAACTATTGATGGAAGAAGTTTTGGGGACTGAATAATGAGACAATGTGGAGCCTCCCGGAGGGTGGCGTCCTACCGTGGCCTAGGGCGTTTCTGCCAGTTGAAAATAAAGATTAGTTTCTACACCAAGCAACACCTATAAGAAGTTAGGAAAAAGACTCCTTCATCTTTGTAAAGACCAAGTTTTATTTATTGTCTTCTTCAGAAATATTTACCTCTTGATATTTTATTGATGATGTAATGTATTACTGCTCTTCACAACTAGCGTTTTTCAGTGCTTAGTTTAGGTTATTGTTCATCAACAATTAGAAGTACAGGCAAATATATCTCATTGGGTATGTTGTATAAACTATCGTCTTTCATATCATTTCAAACTTATTCCTGTAGTATGAAGGTCAAGGCATCAAATTTAAGTATACAATAACCATGTATGTGTTTTTGTCTGTAACTTGCAACGCCTTCAATACATTTTTAGGTATGACAAACGACAACATTAACACTCTCACCTCTAACTTATTCGTTGAAAGAATAAAAGGTGTTGTAAATGTATTCAGTTATTTATTTGCTGAGTCTTTCTTTTACACTTTATTACACAAAACTTTTAACAACTAAGATGTTTACTCTACATATTGTGTAATGTTAATGGCGTTGGTACCATTCTTGTCTTACTGACCCCTCTTCCGAAAATTGCCACCATGCGATTAGAGCACTTATGGAACCGGTATTATTCTGTATTCTGTCCATACGGTATATATATATATATATATATATATATATATATATATATATATATATATATATATATATATATATATATATATATATATATATATATATATATATATATATATATATATATATATATATATATATATATAATGAAATCACTCAGCCCTGATAAAATATGTTCTCATTGGGAAATGAAGGAGTTAAGAGACACAAAAGCTTCTAGAGAACAGTAAACACAATCAGTAACAAGTACCGGTTAAGGTGGTTTTAAAAAGTGGTGGTGGTGGTGGTCGCTTGGTGGGAAGCAACAGCTGATTCCCGTGTGGCAGGTGCCGGACTTGAGGTCCACCAAACGACCTCCACCAACATCGTAACCAAATTTTAAACCACTACACAGTCACTACCACCATTACAACCCCACCACAACTACTACACCTTTACCACTACTGCAACCATATACTACCACTACATTCACTATCACCCCCACCGCAGTTAGACCATACTGTAGAGGGCTGACAACCAACCTCACATAATTTAATCAACAACTCACCAGCAATCAAGATCCTGTTGTTACATAGCTGGGCTGAGGTATTGCGACGGTAACCTGTTAGCGAGTGGTGATGGCGCGGGGAACCATGGTGAGGAAGTGGGCGGAGTGTTGAGTAGACAACCCGCTCCACCACCGCCAGATGGTCTAGGTAGTTGGCTTAGTTCTGGGTGCTACAAGGAGGAAGAGGAGAAATCTACCTTGTGAGCAGGACCCTTGTGATATTAAGCGTCCCTTTTACACGGATGAGGCGTCCTCTGTGGACACCACAGTGGGAGACAGACACACAAGTTTGAGTGTTCTGAGATGCGTGTGACTCCGCGTGGTGTGTGAGAGTGGCGCGGTAGCGGCTACGCTGCCTTACTCCACCAGTGAGCAGATTGTACTGAGGTATCAAACAACGCAACGACGTCAGCGCTCCGAGACCCTCCCAATCTCCCTCTCTCCCTCCCTCCCTCCCTCCACTCTTTCTCGCCCGCCTGTTGCTGTTGCGAGGCTGAGTGCTGGTGCTGTTGTAGGTGACTTAAGACTATTGATGCTGTTGAGAAACTGAGAATTACTACTGTTTCAGAACTCACTTGTCTTATCTCTCCATTTCCTGTTTCTCCCTTGAAAGACCTTGACTTTCACCACTTTCACCACTGCTTCCATCTTTTCCTTCGACCTCTCCATTTTCTAGTAGTCACTCCACTCCCACTCCCCCTTTCTCCCTTCCTCTCCCTTCATATATCTCCCTTTATCCCTTTCTCCCCCTATCTACCACCTTCTCCACCTCCCTTCTCATGTTAAAATTTGTCCTTGCTATCAATCAATCAGAGCACCGTCCTCATATTTGAGGGTTAGTAACCACAGCCCTCCACTCTAAAAGTTCTTGGGCTATTTTTACCAATCCTCCAAGGTTTTGCATCTCTCTGAGGACCCAGTTTTTAACTTAATTTATCTACTCCAGTCTCTGCCTTCCCCTGGTCCTCCTACCCTCAACTTCGCCCATTAATATTTTTTTTATTATCCCCTCATCCTTAATTATATGACCAAAGAATCTCAAGTTTCTTTTCTGTACATTTCAAGTATATCTCTTGAAGTTTTTGCAAATCTTAGTATTTCAATTTTTTCCCCTGTCAGTGTAGTTACGCTTAGCATTCGCCTATAATACCACATTTCAAAGGCCTCCAACCTTTTCTGGTGTCTGCTGAAAGCGTCTACGCTTTTTACCTATATACATCAGTCCTTGCCATATAAAGCCTTTCAGCAGCCTTTTTTATCAAATTGAAGTTAAATGTCCCTTTTCATTAGGTCTTTTAGATTATTATTAATACTGTTTTTGTTTGCCCTATTCTTATTTTTATTTATTCTGTACATCTACCATCACAGTTAATGTTTCTTCCCCAAAACAAAAAAAAATACATTTGTTTAAGTTCCCTGTTGCCTACCATAATTTTATTTTAGGATTTATTTAAAAATTGGAAACATCCACTACTTTAGTCTTAAGAGCATAATTTTTAAATCATAATTTTCACCCTTTTCCGTTATTTTTGATAATAGCACTATTATCTGCAAAGTGCATATTTTATAATTATTACTATGCCATTAACTTTTAGTCCTTCATTGTCACGTATAATTTTGAATATACAGTATATTATACAAAGTTGGAGACAACACAGCCTTGTCTTACTCCCTGTCTAACTGTGAACCAATTAGTAAGTGCATTATTTCCTAACACAAGGGAAATTACAATGGGATGAGGGAAGAGATGAGGGGTATCAACTGGCCTGACTTATTAAGGTACAAGAACGCAGACACTACGCTGAATATCATAACTAGTAAAATGACCCATTTGATCGATAAATATATACCCAAGACCAAACCCAGTGCTTCTAAGAATACGAGGGGATTCCTACACATGAACCATGCGGCGGTCGACAAAATTAAGAAGAAAACCCAGAAATTCAAGACGTGGGTTGGGTCAAACGATGAGCAAGACAGGAGGATGTATGCAAGAGCCAGAAACCAAGCAAAGATAGAGTGTAGGAGGGCTGAAAAGGAGTTCCAGAGGCTGGTTGCACGCGAGGTCAAATCAAACCCAAAGGCGTTCTACCGCTATGCAAAGTCGAAATTGAAAACGCGAGTAGGAGTATCAGACCTGAGGCTTGAAGATGGTAGTTACGCAGATTCTGACCAGGATAAAGCTGAGGCATTGAACAGCTTCTTTTCCTCGGTGTTCACAAGAGAGGATGCAACTAACCTTCCTGCGTTTGAGGACAGACGGTTCGACACAGCACTGACTCACATTGTGTTCACAGAAGAGGGTATTAGAAATAAACTGTCCAGGCTAAAGGTCCATAAGAGTCCCGGACCTGACATGGTGCATCCTAGAGTGCTAAGAGAGCTGTGCAACGAGCTTGCAGAGCCCCTGAAGATTCTGTTTTATAAATGCCTGGATGAACAAATGGTCCCCAGTGAATGGAAAGTGGCTTATGTGAGTCCTATCTTCAAGAAGGGCGATAGTCACTCCACGAACAACTATAGACCGGTGAGCCTGACCAGCATAATATGTAAAGTACTTGAGAGTATTATCAGAGATGCCGCGATGGAACATCTACTACGAAACAACCTTGTAAAAGATTGCCAACACGGTTTTATGCCGGGGCGCTCTTGCTTAACACAATTGCTCAAGGTATTGGATATTTGGACCCATATTCTAGAACGGGGTGGTAATATCGACAATATTTACCTAGATTTTGCCAAGGCTTTCGACAGTGTACCCCACGAAAGGCTGAAAATCAAACTGGAAGGGTACGGAATTCGGGGAAATGTCCTAGCGTGGATAGAAGACTTTCTACATGACCGCAAGCAGTGTGTGGTGATTAATGGCACGAAATCGTCATCTGTACCTGTAACAAGTGGGGTACCGCAGGGTAGTGTATTGGGCCCGCTGTTGTTTGTTTGTTTCATAAATGACATGCCTGACGTTGTACACTCCTCCATACAAATGTTTGCCGATGATGGCAAGTTATTTCGGGAAATTAAGAACCAAGCGGACTGTGAAGAGCTGCAGAAGGACCTCTGTGGGCTCCAGGAATGGTCGAAGAAATGGCTGCTGAGATTCAATGTCACGAAGTGTAAGAGGATGCACCTGGGGCGTACCAACGGTAAGGAGGCGTATCATGTCCCAACGGGATGAAGAAACTGCACTAGTTGAGACTGTGTGTGAGAAGGATCTAGGTGTGTATGTTGACAATGAGCTGAAGTTCTCGGGCCATTGTGAGAAGAAGGTAAATCAGGCAAATAAATTATTGGGTCTTATAAGAAGGTCGTTCAGATATCTAGACGGTCCGTCCCTCGTGACGATCTTCAGGAGTGAAGTGCTTCCCCATCTGGAGTACTGTCACCCCATCTGGTCCCCGGGATATGCTAGGGACTGTCAGTTGGTTGAAAATGTTCAAAGGAGGGCCACCAAACTGGTGCCTGCACTTCGGCACCTCAGCTACCCTGAGAGATTGGAGCGCCTGAACTTGCCTAGCTTATACTACAGACGGGCAAGGGGGAACCTAGTTGAGGTGTATAAGCAACTCAGGGGGCACTACTCAGTTGAGTGTCCTTACTTGGAGCTGGCGGACGCTCGCCCCACAAGGGGTCACAGCTCAAAATTGAAGAAGCCGCAAGTCCAGAAAACCGTGCGGGCAAACTTTTTCGGAGTGAGGGTTGTAAACTCTTGGAACAATCTACCAGAGAGTGTTGTGACGGCACCGAGTGTGAGCTCTTTCAAGACAAGACTTGACTAACACTGGAGCGGGTTCAGGTACATTCAGGAGCCGGTGCATGCCCAGTATTTGCCAACAGTGCGTGACAGAGACGTGACCGATCGCCCAGGCGGCTAGCGAGCTGATCTTTTGGTGAAGAATATAAATGAAAAGAGACGTGACCGATCGCCCAAGCGGCTAACAAGCCGATCAGTGGCGAAGAGGATAAAAGTAAAAAAAAACAGCCTTTTGTTTCCAGCAAAGATTCAAAATTCCAATATCTCCTTCATTAATACATATTGTTTTCCAAGATCTCTCTAAGTTTGATTCCTGACTATGTAGTTTACATTGTCCTGGTGTGAGATCCTGTATAGATATGCCTAGGATGTTGTTGAAACCACTGTATTTTCAACTATCATCTTGTTTCCTTACAAAATTCAATTACTATTTCTCCTCTCATTTTTATTTCTCAACCCATGTGATCTTACCTCTGGTGCTACTTTCCCTTTCCCAATTTTTGCGTTAAAATCACCCATTATAAACAGGCATTCAATAAACTTTACGGTGTCCTTTGCTTTCCTTAGGTCAATGAGATAAGCATTAAACTTGACTAATAAAACTCTATCTGACACTGCCCAATATCCCTTTACACCACTACTCATTTTCGGGTTTACAAGAATACCAACACCTCCTTCATGTTTCTCACCACCTGTATATATGAAGTAAGAATCTTCACCGCTAATGCTATTTGAACCTGTCCATTTTACTTCACTTAATACCAGAATTTCCTATTGCAATCTTTTCATTTCCATAAACATTTGCATATTTACTAGCTTCATAATTATAATGTCTTCACACTCCATGCTTCAATCTTTATTTTGCGTTTGTTTATTTTTTTTTAATTTCCTTCGTGTTTAATATCCAAAGATATATTTTCCTCTGACAGTACTTGCTAGCTCTCGGTGGCACACTACCCACACGCACGGGAGGCAATGCTATAACACATCTCAATGCACAATGATTTAATTAACAAAATTGGTGTGGCAGAATTGTTCATATTCATCGTTAAGCCGGACTTGAAACAACGTGCGTCAATCGCAGAAAAAAATTACTTTAATTAGACAGATTAGAAAACATATGCAGTTTCTAATCATAACAATGCGTCATAGTCGAGCAATTTTTTCAGTAACACCAGCGTCATATTTTAGGACACTTATAAAATTTTCTTTGGTCGTGTTACATTTCACGGGTTTTGAAATATTTTGTGTTGTTTAAAATGTAAAAAAAAAACACGATTTATATTTTTGGTAAGAATTCACAAAAGTAAGAAATCATACCTCAAGCACAACAGTCAACCAACACTTGCATCATATATCAGGATAAAATCTGACAAATAAAACTGGAGTGACATAAAATAATATATCATAAAAGGCAACGGAGCCCAACATTTCAATAATAGCAACAATTTGTTTACGGTATCCCAAGTTAGCTTAAGTTATGAGGTGGGAATAGGAATGAATAGGGACGTGAAGGTGGATGTGGCCAAACGGCACACACACACACACACATATCCCGTCTCTCGCAGTTGGTAGCACACGATAACCACCGCAAACTACTTACATCACAAC